ATGTTTACTAAATTTTTATTTTTTTTATTTTCTATTGCCAAACTATTAGAAAGAGACTGAACTTTCATTGAACCCTAAGAAAATTTTGATGTTATTTGTTTATAAAATTGAAAATAAGTATAGGAAAGTTCTCTTATCATGTGAACTTTTATTATGAGGTAAATTACAGGATAAATTATAGTGAATTCTCTACAAATTTGAATAAATTATATATTCGTAAATTGTTTATTGATATTGATCTTGAAGTCCGATTTATTGTTGAAAAGTGACTTTAAATATGAAAAGTTTATTATACCTTTATATTATAATAATGTTTTGCATTTTATAGAAAGAAAGGGCAAAATTGTTATTTTATAAAAATTAATCTAACATGCTTACCGAAAAGAAAACGCTAGAAATATCGTTGATCACATGCACCAAATTTTAGTGGAGGTCAAAACAATAAACGTTGAACGGTATGTGTAATTTGTCCAAACCTCAAAAAATGTTAGTGTAATTTACCTTTTTATTAAATCACTTAAATAAATATTAATATTAACTCCTTTTTATTTGACTTACTTTTTTTTTTTTTACCATGTAGAAATTAGACATTGTAGATGTTGTGGTGTTTTGGACTTAAAATGTATCTACTGCTTGTGTCAAAATACATCAACTAATTTAAAAAAAATTTAAAAATTGTACCGTTTTGTACAAAAAAATGAGAACGCTCCCTCTCTCTCCTCTTTCTCATTCCTACGATGGGGGATATTTCGCGCCAAAAAATAAATATTCATTCCCACGATTTTTAGTGCCTAGAAGATCTGGTTCACTCTGTTTTTATGAAATCTATATTACAAAATTCCTCTGTTTTCTGAAATTCAAATTGCAAAATCCATTACAGAAAAGTTTGCAGTCTAGTTCGAAATCGGACCAATGGAATCTCTTGTCTTGAAAGTGGTATTCAGGTTAAGAGAAAAACATAGACCAAGGAATGAACGAGAGAAGAAGATAGGGAGCGATCTTTTTCAGAAAAGATGAGAAAGGGAACGACATTAACACCGATTATTGCTGGCTTGTTTAAGATTGGAATAAAGAGAAGAGAGATAGGGAACAATCTTTTTTGAAAAAGATGAGAGAAAAAACGATATTAACGTCGTTAAGAGTATAGTAAATTCTCCTTATTTCAAAACAATGCAGTTTATACATAAGCAATAATAGATGCATTTTAAATGTTACATGTCAATTCTTAACAAATTCAATTTAAAATAACTTAAAAGAAGATTTAATTTAGAACATCTAAGTCGGTTATTGAACTGCTAAGAGATAAGAACTTAAACCTCCATACTAGGGTATTTGTTTCAACACTCAGTATTGCCGGATAAAAAATGAAAAAAAACTTGGTATTATATTTTAGTTTAACTAAAAAAAATTATGTTTCTAGATAGTGCTATAAATGTTAGGTAGAATATATTTTATATAGATATCTACATTTAATAGGTTAGAATATATTTATTGCTTTATAATGTGGACCTTTTAATTGGCTTCGGTTACACACACTTCACATTAATGCGGATACCGGTTAATTGTAGAGGTGGGATAGGCCAGGTGGGCGGACGCGCGTGAAGGGGCGTAGAATGGGGACTGCGTACCAATAATTGTTGTTTTTATCGTTGAATATACAGTTATACAAAAGCGTGGTTCGTCCATGACAAGTCGCGCCAGTGGCACACCAGAGGCTTTGGAGTTTATGATGGAGAGTCCTGATTTGAAGATACTTTTGTACCTGCCATGCCCAATAGGGATTTGAAGCTGCAGCCTCAACCAAACGGAAGAAATAAAAATATACTGTTCATGCCATCACATACTTATTATATATATATAATAATAATAATAATAATAATAATATGCACAAGTACAATTATTCAATATTTAATTATTTACGTAGTATTCCCTTATCCCATAAAAAGTGATAAGTTTAGGGAACGACTAATAAGGAGTAGTTTTTATTTTGGGAAAAGGTTTTATGGAAGGGATGCACACGGTCTAATTCGGTACAATTTTTTGTGGAATCGAAAAGGTTCCCAACGATTCTTAAAATTGAAATTGGAATCGAAACTGTTGGGACATGAAACCACCCGTTTCGGGGTTCAATTCCAGTTTCCTTTATTTATTTATTATTTTTTAATAACTTACTATTTTTTAGTAATACATTGACCACCACAATTCTTTGAGCCACATTTACATCCAAGCAAGCATCAATAGGCATATATATATACGGTAAATATATATAGGCGCTGAGCACATATATTAATAATTATATAATTAAAAAAATTAATTTAACGGTTCCTAAAATTTAAAATCGAAATTGGAACACCGGTTCCAATTGTTAACAATTTCACCGATTCTTTGTGCATCCCAAATTTTACAAATGAGAAAATTACTTAGAGGACCTTTTTAGTTTTTACGGTCATAACTTTTCAAATACATGGATTCACCAAAATTGCCAAGTAGGCGTTAACAAACATTATGCATTATTTTAAATTATCTAGTATACAGTACCATTTTTACTTTTACTTTATCATTTTAGGATGATATGCACAAAAGTAAGTTGCACAAAAGTTGTATCTAAGTGAACAAAAGTGGTACTTAGGCGGATGTTTTTTTTAAAAAAATTCAAAGGTGATGCCTGATGGCACGAAAGTAGTGCCTAAGGTACCGTTTGGTTACAAAAAAAAAATGACAAAAAGATGAGAGAAATGAAAAATGAAAAGAAAAGTGAAGTGAATTAAAAGAAATTTAATTTTTCTAATATTAAGTTGGTTAGCATGAAAATTTATTGAAGAAAATTGTAATAAATATCATATTATAGCTTATATACCTAAATTGACTTTATTTTATAAAAATATTAAACTAATAAAATAAATAGTAGAATAATAAAGAATTAAGTAGTAGTAATGTATATAAAAAAATATGAGTTTGAATTAGTTCAAACGCAAACTAGTATTTATTTCATTTTCATTTATGATGGAAAATAATCATAGGAATGGAAGTCAAGTTTATTCAAACTCTATTAGCAATAAAGTTACTGTTGAACTCCAATTCTTTAAAATCCAATAAAAATCGATGAAATTGTTGTTGGTCTGCATTGATAAATAGAAACACAAAATACAAGCCGAAATAAAATTTTGGGGAAAATAAGAAGTGGCGGGAATCCTAATTTTTTAGAATTTTATATTTTCATTCCATCCAAACTAAAACATAAAAAATAAAAAATGATATTTTCTTTCTTTTCTTGTTGATTATATCTAGCCAAAGGAAGCCTAAGCAAACAAAAGTGGTACATGCATAAAAATAAAAATAAAAATAATAATAATAATAATATAAAAGGGGGCATAGTGGGTCATTCAAAATAATGCACAATGTCTGTTCATGTCTACCTCAACAATTTTGTAGAATTTATCTATTTGAAATTTGAAAAGTTTTACTTCGCATGACTGTAAAAAATGTTCCCCTAATTTTATTTATATGTACTTTTCCCTTTACAAATCTATTTTTAGTTTTTATTTTTCTCCAAAACCATAGCAAACAGAAATGGGAATGGATATTACAATAAATGGATTGATCATTTAGTTGGCCAATTTCGAGACCTTCCTACACAAGGTGGCCTACAAATTGGAAAAAACAGACAAAGATTAGTCTTTGTAATTAAATAGTTTTTAATTACACACTGATCTTTATAAATAAGGATGGACGGACCAGTTGGGAGTGATGTTTGGTCTATTATTGTACCATTTGTGAGCTATGAGGACCTCTCTGCACAGCAAATCAAATTTGAGTTGGTCCTTAGTCTCCTTCTTCTTCATGAATGACCCTACCCATCACCACAAGCGATCATCAAAGTTCGAACTGTAATTTAAAGAAGGCAACCAAAACAGATGAAGAAAAAGTTAATCACATGTACCGTCTCCTAAAATGAATGAAAACGGACATTACTTAATAACCTAATTGGTAAAGCACCTAACTTCTCAAGCGAGTGTACTTGATTTAAAGATGCAAATAATTTATGTCAAAACTCGAGTTAATTGAAAGAAAAAAAGAAAAAGAAAATAGAATTGAGACACCATGTATACCAGTAAACTGATGAATGCCAAAAGTACCCATTGAAAAATTATTCTACAATGAAGAGTAATAAACTCAAATCCTATAGATTGAAGAGAATACACTATCTCCACTTTACTTTGGCACACCTAACTAAAGCACCTTTAAAAAAAAAAAAAAGTAATTAAGGATCAATATAAGAAGTTAATAGATGGAAAGCTATAATGCCAAAATTAAGTTGGACCAGCATCAACATATAAAAACGATCAGTGGAATGAGACCATTGCAACTGATTTAAAATGTAAGGAAACAAGCGCGCACACACATATAACTACTGTTTAGTGCTCCATCTTGATACAGCAACAAATAAAGAATTTGAAAAGAAAGATAAAAATTCAAATCATCGATCTTTCACTATTTAGGAACCAATAAAACTAAAAACTCCACTTAAAATTGGGCCATTCGTAACTCTCGATTTTGATGGGAAAAACCTAAGAAAAATATTACCTTGTAACTCTCCACATCTCAGGATGGTATTTGTTCTATTCTGAACACAAATGACACTCAAGTAAGGTAATATTTTAGTTAGGTTTTTCCCATCAAAATCTTTGCTTACTCAAGCTCCAGCAACTACCTTGGCAATTTATATATGACACATTCCTTCCTATGTAATTTAATTTAGACATTAAAGAAGTGGCATCAAGCATGCAATTGCAAAATCATAAACAAAAAATTAATCAGAAAGCAACATTTTCAAAAAAACTTCAGTGTGAAAATCCAGAAAACTTACTAACGGGTATCAGCCTCTTACTTCTCAAAAGGAGGTCAGGAGTTCAAATCTCAAAAGAGACAAGTGTGTGTGAGTACCCATTAGATAAAAAATAAAAAAAAAATTAAAAAAAAAAAAATCCAGAAAACTTCCAAAAAGACTACAACCTTAATCAGAACATGTTATAATATGTCTGTAAAAGTAATACTACTGAAAGTTTGTCTTTTAGAAGCACTCTGTGTTTGGCTGATTTTCTTAACGGTCTGAATCACCAATAGTCTTTACATGAACAGTTCCCATTCTCAAAAAAATGGAACCGATTTGAATCCCGGACAATAATTTTTCTCTCAACAATCTTTGAAATAAATTTTAAAGCAGTGTGGCAGTCCACACAGGTCCTTAAATTCTTAAAGACCTTAATTGGCGTTCCTGGCGGAGTAGCAATGATTCCAAAAGCAACGGCAAGCTTCTCACTGTGATGGGAGAGATTTTGCTCCTTCTGTTCTTCTTCTACATCATGCAGCACAAAGTCCGTGTGAGGGGCATACCCTTCTTCCTTCATTCTCTTCAAAATTTTCTCCAAGAATTCATGTATTTCCTTTGATTTTGGGTGGGATGTATCTCCCACTAAGAACACGTGGACTTCTCTCTTGATTTCAATCCAACTCAAACCAGGTTTCTTTACCACTTCTCTGTCATCCATAGTCTTTCTGATTTTTGCCACTTCTCCCCACATACCAGCAGTTGCATAGATGTTGGCCAACGTAACATATGTAGCTGGATTTTCAGGTTCTATCTCGAATAACGCTTCTGCAGCTCGCTTTGCCAGTTCAAGATTTCCATGAATTCTACAGCCACTAAGTAGGGACGCCCACAAAACTTTGTCAGGTTTCATAGGCATTTTATTGATAACATCCTCAGCTTCTTTGAATCTGCCAGATCGCCCCAAAAGATCAATCACACATGCATAATGATCTGCTGTGTGAGCTAACCCGTGTTTATCCTCTATTGAGTGAAAATATTCAAGGCCTTTATCAACTAAACCAGCATGAGAGCAAGCATGAAGAACGCCAACAAAAGTAATGTGATCCGGCTGAGTGCCTGATTTGAGAAGCAACTCGAAAAACTGAAGAGCCTCATTGGGTCTGCCATGTTGAGCATATCCATTGATAAGGGAAGTCCACGAAACCAAATGCGGCTGAGGCATGCAATTGAAAACCCTTTTTGCAATGTCAATGTTTCCACACTTTGAGTACATATGGACGAGGGCACTTGCTGCATATGAATATGGGTCAAACCCAATTCGCATCATGTGCCCGTGAACCTGCTTACCCAAATCCTCAGCTGGTTGATCAGCACATGCATCTAATACTCCAGCAAAAGTAAAGTCATTAGGTCTAATCCCCGACCTTAATAAGTCTGAGAACAAGGCAAAGCCCTCATCGCTCTTCCCATCCTTAAAGTATCTATCAATCATTGCTGTCCAGGAAACAACATCTCTAGCTACTGTCCGGTCAAAAATGCGACGAGCTTCATGTATACTCCCACATTTCCCATACAAATCCGACAAAGCACTCCAAACCACCGCATCCGAAGCCAACCCTGTTCTCATAATATGTCCATGAATTTCTTTACCCCGATGTAAAGATTGAGTGGCAGTCGAAGCGGCAAGAACACTAGAAATCACAAACTTATTGCATTTCAAATTTTCATGCCTTTGCATCATTCTATAAAAATCCAAAGCTTCTTTAGGCCGGTCATGTCGAACAAAGCCCGATATCATGGCTGTCCAAGAAAAACTATCTCTCTCCGGCATTGCATCAAACAATTTCCGTGCTTCTTCCAATTGTCCCATCTTTGCGTAGCCAGAAATCATTGTATTCCAAGAACACAAGTCTCTATCGGTCATTTCATCAAACACCCTCCGCGCATCAGCAAGGCTCTCACACTTGCAGTACATGTCAAGAAGACAATTGGAAATAAAGGGGCCAGGTACAAAACCCGAGAACCGAATGTGGTCATGAACCCTTTTTCCCTCCTGGAGATCTCTTTGTTGAAGGCAGAGCTGTATGATCTTGGAGTATATAGTTGGGTTGGGGCGACGCACAAGCTCAAGCGTTTGAGTTGCGTCTCTTAAACGCTTTTGTTGGCATAGGATGTCTATGGCTTCTGTAAATTTATTTTCTTTACATAAGCGGCTTATGTGTTCATCTTTGTTATCCGATTTGAAGAAAGTTTTGGGTATAAAAGGTTTTTGATTGATTTGGATCTGAGGAGGAGGAGGAGGAGGAGAAGAGGAAGCAAAGCTTCTGTTGATGTGAAGAAAAGCGTACAGATTAGACGAAAAGAGTTTCAAAAGTTGTTTTTGCTTATGCAATTGAATCGATCTCATGTTTTCTCCCAACATGGATGAGTAAAAGTATACAGACGTTTTACATTGTCGTCGGAAACTTGAAATATAAAGTATTCAAAAACCTAAGCGGGAGGGAGTTGTTTTGGCGCAAAAGTGGGACCCACACCTAGGATGCAAATTTAACAATGAATCCATCCTGATTATATATATATATTTTTAATTTTTTTTATATAAATAAAATATATATTTAATATTTTTAAAATAAGTGTTAGTTAATACCAACTACTTAATAATTTAAAAGCTGGATCAATTTATTTATCAGTTTAATTTGAGCACATTGAACTAAATTAATTAATTAATTTATTTTTTTTTATACGGAAGACAAAATCACAAATTAGTTCGAAATAAAAATAAAATTAATACCACAAATTTGCTAACAGAAAAATAAACCCTTCCCCAAGTCAGCCCGATGCCATCCCAACCCACACCTTGCAACATTATATTAACAAGAAACATGGGACCCATCATTGGTGGGTCATATAGTAACGAGTAAGCACTACAGTAAGACTCAGTCAGACTCTGCTCCTGATTCAGAATTGTGAATTCAAAGAATTAGGTTTGAGTTTACAGTTGGAATGAGTTTTTATTTTTAACTCAGTCTGACTCTGGTTCTGACTTTTTTGCGTCAGACTCTGACTCTTGACTTAGCATCGTTAGAGTACATTAAAAAAAAAAAAAAAAAAAAATTAGGTTTTAGGTTTTAGGTTACGGTTGGGAGCCCGATGTACTACATGGTGCATGTAAAATCATTCAATTGGTCAAATTAGATTTGAAGTAAATTGAACTTGTATGTTTTGATTGGGTTTGATTCTCTCACAATCATTCAATTGTAGACGTACGGTTTAGAATATGAAAACGAAAGCTTTTGTCATTGGAAGAGGTAAAGTCAATCACGTACCAGATGATTTGAAGGTGGACTCTAAGTTGAAGCAAGTATTTCTCATGCATATATGTTAGCTAGATCGGTAAGGATTATCTTCTTTTTAGGTAATTTCTGTGAGGGTTATCTTCTCAGTTGCATTTATAAATTTCAGCCCTTCTCCCAAGCAATTATTGATGGTGAGAAAAGAAAAATTATATTCTTAAAAATTTAAGTAAATGTCTCCATTAATAAATTGTCCCTAACAATATTTGAACAATTAGTCTTTTTTTTTTTTTTTTCTCACTCGAAAAATTAGAACTCTGAACTAATAATGACATGACTGAATCATTTGTAACATGCTTGTACATTAAAATCTTCCAATTGAAAAAAAAAAAAAAAAAAACCTTTAATCTATAATAGAACTCACTTTACATTTAATAGTAACAAACTCACTTGATGACCCAATGGCCTAGCTATTGCATGTGCCTGATTATTCCCCTTTGAATAGTACGTATTCTTTTTCCATTTTCGTCTTTCACAGTGTTCAAAAATTTTATACACCGTTAAATGGTTGAGTTATATATCAAATCAAGCTAATTTGTTACCAGTCATCATTTTGTTTCTTTTTATTTTTTTTATTTTTTAATTGTGGATGTATGATATATAGGTGATAATGTTAATTATGCAGGACAAACAATCTTTAGATCACCGACAATATCGTGTATATATTCTTACGTTCAGTTGTAACCTACCTCTGCTCTTTCACCTCTTCATCATCACTTCCATGAATATCCCCTAGTACTCCGGTGAGTGGTTTATGTACTTAATTTAATCTCTGCTTATACTCTCTCCCCAAATCTCTCTCTCTCAATACTAATGGTACAATCAAAGAAATTCAGAGGTGTCCGGCAACGTCACTGGGGTTCTTGGGTTTCCGAAATTCGCCACCCATTACTGTAAGCTCACAGTGACATTCTTTCCTAAATTCCTTCTGTAGCATCTTAATTTTGTCATTGTGACTGATCTCTGTGCTTGTGTGCGTGTTTGTGTGTGTATGTGTGTGTGGGGTTCAAGGGCATGTTATAGAGAGACAAGGGGGCATGCAACATTCTGCATATGATAACGATACAAATTGTATATGTAGCATATATGTATACAACAGGGTACATAAATATGGAAATATATGTACATCTTTAGCTCGATCTTATTCTAATTTGTTGCAGGAAGAGAAGGGTGTGGCTAGGAACATTTGATACCGCCGAGGAGGCAGCTAGAGCCTATGATCAAGCTGCCATTTTAATGAATGGCCGAAATGCCAAAACCAACTTCCCTGTAGCCCGAAAACCAGACCAAGACTCGAACAGCACCAGCACCGATGATCAAGAGTCATCTTCATCGCCACTAAAGGGTCTATCAGAAATCCTACGAGCTAAGTTTCGAAAATGTAGCAAAACACCATCTCCATCTCTCACTTGTTTGAGGCTAGACACTGAGAATTCCCATATTGGAGTGTGGCAAAAGCGCGCCGGTCCGTGCTCAGATTCCAACTGGGTAATGACAGTTGATCTCGAGAAGAAGAACAATGGCAAAGTCAACGAGAGCGAATCATCACTGCCTTTGTCTGACCAGTCCCCAACAATGGTGGGTTCAAAGAGGTTGAGAAATGATGAGATGGATGAAGAGGAGAGAATTGCAGTGCAAATGATAGATGAACTTCTTTACACTAATTGTCCTAGCCCTTCATTTGAGATTCAAGGTGTGGGTTACTTTTGCATGTAGTTCCCTAAATATATATATATATCAATGTATCTATTTCTGTTCATATTGAAGACAAGGGAGGCTTTGGGTAGAAATTAATTAGTACTAATTAAGAAAATGTTGTCTAGCTAGGTGACAATGGATATATATATAGAAGAATAAAATTGTGTTAATTATCGAAAAAAAAAAAAAAAAGAATAAAATTGTGATAACAGTTTCTTTATCCTAATTACTTCTGTGTTATGTTATTTTTAGATTTAAATGGTCAAAGTACAAAGTTTCTCCTCTTAGGAATTTATATATATACATACATACAGATGAATGGAATTGCAGTGTGAAATAAGTGGGGACTAATTAATTATAATTTGTTTGGCAAAAGATTTATATTCTCACTAGATTTTGGAGGTTTGTTCTTGCATATCGTGGAGCAATTTTTATTTTTACTAGTTCTATGAGCTATAACATTTCATAAGAATGAAAATTAGTATTTTCTAGCTAGTTCTAGGTCTAAATGGACTTATTACTATATACAGAACATGCTCACGAAGTGTTTAGACAATCGCGTTGTGCTTGTAAATCAAATTCATCTTTTAATAGATTTTATAATAAAATTGACTAATAATAATTATATTGAAATTAGTTTGTCTTATTTACTTTGTGATTAACTTGTAGAATTCCTTGGTCTCATAAGTAAAGATTGTCTTCTTTCTGCCGACCATCCGCATAAGTAAAGCTGGGTCATCTTCTCATAAGTAAAGCTTGAGCAATGAAGTTCTTGAATATATATAGTAGTGTCAGTGAAAAGTACATTTGTTGCAGTGATTTCATTGGTCGATCAATGACATATTCCTATACACAATAAATATATACTACCGTATAGGTCTGCAAACATGTTTTCGATTCGATAAAGTTCTTTCTTTATAAAAGGAATTCGAATGCTTGTTTGCACTCACATTTTCAGATAATTAATTGTTAGCTTCACAAAACATGCATCCTAATTAAAACAGAAGCTAGGTCAAACTCAATGAGACTCATGCATGAAGATTATCATGAAATGCATTAGTTTATTGAGGCGTTTGCAATCATAAATTTTTTTATAAGAAGCAGACCGAAGCTCCAAAACCACACACACACACACACACATATATAAACAAAAAGCAGCAACTAGGAGATGCTACAATTGAACCAGAGAGAGGCAACAGCGAGAACAAACTCTGATCAATACGTGGCTAAGAAGATAAAGTTAAATTTGTCTACCTTTATCTTTTTGGGTCTCAATTTAGTCTCAAGCCCTAGATCACAGTTTTGAGGCGACAAAGAAAAGAAGAAAGGAAGAAGAGATGGAAATTTGTTGATTGAAATTGAATATCAACTTTGTGGTCAAATATTGAGTTAAGAAGCTGGTGGAAATAACAAGTATTAAGAAGCTGATTTTTTTTTTTTTTTAACATAACAATAAAAAATGAATAATTTTATTCTTAGTTTTTTTAAAGGAAGTTAATATTTTCTAATTTTTCAATTCTTAAATAGTAATATATATTATTTGTGCACCAAATTGGGACAAGTACAAGAACCATACAACAATAGCAAGATATCCTCATGTCCAAAAGCATTAAATTTTACTACCTTTTTCATGATTAGTGGGTTAATGTAGTTGGTCTACATGTGATGATGCTGGTGGTGATGCTGATAATTACGATGCTCATCTTTGATATTGTAATCAAAACAAAAACTTATTAATCATCAACAAAAACAAGTTAGTAACAATTTTATTTAAAACTCACAAAATTCATGCTCTCTCTCACTTAGTCTTTTTCAAATTACTTACGTGATGATGCCGGTGGTGGTGATGATCATAACTTGATATTGTACACAAAAACACAAACTTAATCATCGACAAAGACAAGTGACCAACGATTTTCTTTTAACTCACAAAAGTCATGTTCGTCCCTAGTCTTTCTCTAATAAGAAGATGGCAACAAGCTCTTAATGATGTTGCTTTCTCGCACGCCCACAAATGATCATACGACAAATAGTGAAATAGTGATTTTTAACACGGATATACAAAGAACCGTTGGATTATTAAAATCATGGCATCGCACTGAATCGCCACTTTAATTTAATTTTTTTACGATTCGATTTCAAATTTGATTCAAAAATGAGAAGTCACTAGTTTACGATTTCGATTCTAAATTAATTGGAACCAGAATTAATTCCAACCGTATAGTAAACAAAATATATATTATATATACCTATATTACAATATTAATAAACAACAATATAACATATGTTACAAAGATTAAAAAAAATAAAAATTTCTTAATTGGTACTATCACACACATGCCTCCATTGAGATTCGAACCCTGACCTCCTTTTGAAAAGTAGAAGTTTGATAACAATATATATTTTTTGACCACACACAGAGATAACGCTACTCTTTAATGAATTTTTACTTCTATATTTCATATTTATTTCACAAAAAATTATAATAGTTCATTTGCATTACAAATATATTTTATTTCTTGGTTGAGAGGTTTATTATTGTGCAAAGGTAAATCCATCTTTTTGGTAGTGAGTTATTGAGGGTTTTTTTATTTTTTTATTTTAAAAAAAAGGACCTGTGGTTTGGAACTGAACCAAACATGTCTTTTAACGTTTTTGTTCATAATTTCAATTTAGTTAAAAATCGTATCGAATCGGACCATCTACAGATAAGCCGATAGCTAAATATTGAAATAAATTAATGATGAAAATGCCCAACTAATGAAATGAAGAAGAATCGTTCTACAGCAACCAACTCTTGACTTTGCCACTACCCACAGCCCTCCTCATGGGACCCACGAACCATGTTGACCACGGTGCTTTGAAGAGTGACAATGCTGAGAATTAACAATAATATAATTTCTTGATTAAATAAATAGGATTTGTGTTTTTCATTATTAATTTTTTTTAAAAAAATTATTATTTTCTTTCAAAGACAAAAACTTCATTGACATAATTGAATTAAGACAGAAAAAAAAAAAGAAATGTAAGTACATCTATATAATTGAATATTACGTTCTAAATTATATTTTTTTGATTCTATAATTAAACAAGATTAAACAAGATTTTTTCTTCTTTGCAATGAAATCAAAATGACCAACCAACAACTTTGATTTCCACAAAACAAGTCCGAAGCAGGTACTTGGGAAATGCATGTGGCTATGTCTCTTAGCATGTTCGGTCCAAAAACTCAACTACCCACCCTACCTACCCTTATCAACAACAAAATAATAGTATAAAAAAGTCTTCCCCATTGATGTCGACGGATGCCTTACTGTACTTAACAGGGTACAAAAAGTCAAACAATTTATTTCGACACAGCAACACACCAATTACAACTAAATCTTTGTTTGGTGAAAAAAATATACCACAAAATCCAAATTAGAACACATGTAATATATGTTTTTAATTCACTCCTCCATTTATTTTGTGTATCGAGGTCTGCGGCTAGTAGATAGGGGGTTTACGTCTGTTCAATTGTACCAATTATGTACTATTTGTAGTTTTGAAAATATTTTTTTTTATTTTTAGAGAAATTAAAGTAAAAAATTGTACAAAAATTTTAATTTTTTAAAAATTCAGTTATAAAAATGTCTAGTTTTTAAATTCTTAAAAATTATTTTTAAAATTACAAATCAAACATGTTTTAATTATCAAAAGAAAAAAAAATTATTTTGTTACAAGTTGAAATAGTTATGTCACAATTGCAAAATAAGTTATTATTATTATTATTATTTTTGCCGTAAGCAAAATAAATTATTTCACACTTGTTAAAGAACGTTACACATTGTAGAAATAAGTGGAGCAGAGAATTATATACAATAAAGTCTTGTATGTTTGTGAGATGCAAATATTAATCACAAAAAAAAGTCTTCAATGCACCAATCAAACCATACTACTAGTGTCACATAAAAGGTTGTTAAAGAACCTTTTATTTGTTGTATTCATAGTAGGGTTTGTGGTGGAGAGCGTCGCCAAGAGTCAATGGGCTGAGTACCATTAAGTCTAAAGTGAGTCCAAAAGCATACAATGCGGTTGGTCCCAACCCATCCCCACCTCTCTACAAAGAATTGTACCAGAGAGTTGAAAATGAAAATCACTAATTAACTAGTGAGGTCCAGTAGCAAAAGGCTCTCTTATTCTCAAACCAGGGTATATATATATATATATATATATATATATATATATATATATGTTTGTATAATATAATATATGAGAAATATAGGAATTTCGCTTTTGTGTGAAAAGCTACTTCAACTTTGGATTAAGAAGCAAATTTGAAAGCAGAGAAAAATATAATCTGCTGGAACTCTCTTTCACAAACGAGGGATTCATCCATCTCTTCGAGTTATATCAAGTGACCATTTCTTTGGTTTGATTAGTATGGCTTATCTAGATAAGAAATTTATACTCCGTTTGATTACATTGAAATTAAGTATTGAAAATTTTAAGAGCTGAATTTTAAGTTGTAATTAAAAATGAATATATATATTTTTTTATATCTTTTTGAATTTTTTCAGTAATAAGTGATATATTTGATATTTAAAATTTTATTCCGTGGTGCTTATCGTTTTCAACGGTATTCAAAGTGCGTTATCAAATACACTTAATTGGATAATCGTTGAATATATTCAGAATTAAGTAATCAAACAACTCTGTCAATGTAAAACATTTTTTGAAAATAATTTTTTTTAATTTTTTGGTATTTGGTTGTCCAATATATATATATATATATATATATATATATATATATATATATATATATTTTACTTGGTAAATTTTTTAAAAAAGTGACTTACCAATAAAATATTGGAATATAAATACTTAGACTAATGGATAGGTAAAAGAGAAATTTAATAATCAATGAGTAAAATAAGGGCTTCAATTTTTATTTTAAAATGTTTTAAGAAGTAAAACACCAAAATATACTTTTCAAAAAAATATTTTATAGGACCTTTACCATATATCGAAAAATAAAAAATAAAAAAATATTTTACAAAAAAAAGTATTACTTGAAAAATATTATAGAGGTTTTTCAACAATTTTATAGAATATAAACTCCCTAATTTTTTTTAATTTTTTTTTCCTTTATTGACAAGTACATGTTTTGTAATGGGTACTTGGGTAGAATTTTTTTTTGGGCTACAAGGCTCTTCCATAGAACATTTTTATTGGGCAGAAATTACGTCCCT